GCCCACCAGGGGGCGGGGCTGGCTGGCATGTGGTGCTGGGGGATTGAACTGTGATCCCTGTGCTTTGCTTAGCTTGTTCTAAGTGGGTGCTTTAGACCACTGAGCCATCTCACTAGCCCATGTGTAACATACAGAAGGGTGCTTTTAGTATTGACAGTATGAATCTTAAAAAGGTATGTGGTTCAGTCAGTTCGAAAACTAACTTATAGCTGGGCATGCTGGCATACACCTATAATTACAGAATTTCAGAGGCTGAGACAAGAGGGTGAGAAGTACAAGGCCAGTCTGGGCTGCATAGCCAAACACTATCTCAAAAACAGAAAGATAAAAACAAAACAAATAAAAAAGAACTAATATATGTGAAAGCCAGTTAGTGAAGTACATTGTTTTATCAAGGATTTCAGGTGTGGAATGAATTTAAGGGGCTGAAAAAAGATCAAGTTCAGAATGCCTATTCTGAATAGTAACAGCTGGCCCTAAGGAAGAACAAAAGCCAGCTATAAAAATGTGCGACCAAGGAATCTGGACCACTAGGGCATCATTAGGTTAAGGGAAAAGACCAAAACCCCCAATTATGTAGGAGGTTTTAAGAAAGAAGAGACTGCAACTCTCACAAATTTTATTCCAAGAGCAGTTAACTGTCCAAAGAACAAAATGGTGCCCTCTGATCTCACCCATTTGGTGAAGTTTCCTGCCAACTCCTGCATTTGCAGTACCACACTGTCATAACAAATTAACACAAAAAATTACTATTAGAGAATGTTCTGGGGATCCAGGCATTTGCGTGACTTGGGAGTAGATGGGGCTAACTGTGCATTCACTAGCTCTGCTAGGCAGGTCTTCAAAGAGGGAAGCTGAATCTCCATCAGGATCAGCTAGCTTCAGAGGGACTAGGGGTAAATCCTCCCCACTGAGGACAGACTCAGAAGCAACTTTCAGGGACATCATTCTCAAGCAGCCTTAAATCCTAGGAAAGATAGATATTTCTTGCCTAACTTCTGCGGCAGAACACAAAGGTAAGGAGGGTGACATTCAGGATGACAAAATGAAGTCTGCTTGAAATAGTTTGAAGAAGCTATACAGCCGTCCTTTCCACTGACTCATTCACACAGTTCCTACCAGGGAGTAAGCATTAGATACAGGACGATGAGTTTAGCAGGTGAAATGTGTTTAAAATTCTTACTGTGTGCATGTGTGTATGAAGCGTGTATAACTATGTGTGCACCCATCTATGTAGATATAGCCTATTGTTTAAGATGGCTTAAGATAGTGTCAGGTCAGCCAAATAGCCCAACAGACTAAAGCGCATGCTTAGATAGGCACAGGGACCAGGGTTTGACCCCTGGCATGCTGTGCTGGCCCTGCCCCTACAGTGCGCTGAGACTGAGATTGAGATTGGGCATGGTAAGGCATACCTGTAACCCCAGCACTTGGGAGGCTGAAAACAGAGGATCACTATGAGTCTGATCTGTGTAGTGAGACCTGTAGTCCCTGTACTAAAATACATAAATCTTTAAAAAAAAAAAAAAAAAAGGTATTGTCTTCTAAGGGCTGGTGAGATAGCTCAGTGGACTAAGCACCTGCTTAGGCAAGTGCAGGGGCCAGGGTTCAATCTCTGACATCATGCCACGGTGGCCCTGCAGCACTGGGGAGGCTGAAAATAAGAGGATCACTACGAGTCCGAGCTATGTAGTAAGACCCAACATAAAATACAAAAAAAAAAAAAAAAAAAAAAAAAAAAAAAAATTTTTTTTTTTTTTTTTTTTTTTTTTTTTTTTTTGTCGTACTAGGGATCAAACTCAGGACCTTGCAGTTGCCAGGCAGGTACTTAAACTGCTGACCTATATCCTAGGCCTAAGATATTGTCAAGATAGCACAATTATCAAAATAAATCTATAGTCTTGCAAACTCTTATCAAAATTTCAGTTGCTTTTTCACAAATGGACAAACTTATTCCAAAATTCAAATGGCATTCAAAAGGATCCCAAGTAAGCAGTAAAAAAGATTCATACTTCCTGATTTTAAAACTTACCACAAAGCTACAGTGATGAAAACTACATGGTAATGGTATAGGGACATACCTAAAGATCAAAATAGAAAAGATAATCCAGAAATAAACCCATACATTTAGTCGACTGACTTTCAACAAGAATGTCATGACAGTTAGTAGAAGAAAGATCAACCTTTTTTTTTTTAACTTTTGTTTTATTATATTTTTCATTTTATGCATTTGATACAAGGTCTCACTATGCAGCTCAGACTCATAGTTATCCTCCTGTTTTCATCCTCCCCAGTGCTGGGATTACAGGTGTGTGCTACCACGTCTGGACTCTGTCACCAACTCTGTGCACCCCAGGGGTGTGGCCTGCATGGTATTCATGACTGGGGATCGAGCCCTGGTCCCTGTGCTTGCCAAAGCAGGTGCTTAATCCACTGAGCTATCTCACTGTTCCTACCTTTTATTTTTTAAAGAGAATACAAAATGGTAAAAGAGAGAAAAGAAAAGATCAACCTTTTTGACAAGTATTTCCAGATCAGAAGAATATCCCTGTAAAATGAAACTGGACATCTTCTTTAGGCTATAACAGAAACAAATTTCCCAGGGATGGTGGTACATGCCTGTAATCCTAACATACCAGAGGCTGAGGCAGAAGAGCTATTATGATTTCAAGGCCTGCTTAGGCTACATAGTGAGTCTAAAGCCAGCCTGAACTATAGAGCAAGACACTGTCTCAAAACAGCTAAACAAAGAAAAAGAAACTCAAGATGAAAGAAAGTCTGGATATATGGGCTGGGGGCATACCTCCGAGGAACAGTGCCTGCCGAGCAAGCACGAGGTCCTAAGTTTGATTCCTGGTACCAAAAAAACAAACAAGACTGAATGTAGGGGCTGGTGAGATGGCTCAGTGGTCTAAAGCACCTACTTAGAACAAGCTAAGCTAAGCAAAGCACAGGGACTGCGGTTCAATCCCCCAGCACTACATGCCAGCCCGCCCCGCCCCCTGGTGGGCTGAGCTGGCCACACACAAAATAAATAAATAAACAAAATTTAAAAAATAAACATTTAAAAAAAAAAAGACTGAATGTAAGAACTAAAATTATAAAACTCTGTGAAGAAACAGGCAGGCATAAATCTTCATGACCATGAATTAGGCAATGGTTTCGATACCTTTGTTTATACAACAAAGAAAAATTGATAAACTGATATCATCAAAATTAAAAACTTTATGCTCCACAGAATACTATGAACAGGGGCTGGTGAGATGGTTCAGTGGTCTAAAGCACCTACTCAGAACAAGCTTAGCAAAGCACAGGGACCGCGGTTCAATCCCCCAGCGCCACATGCCAGTCAGCCCCGCCCCCTGGTGGGCTGAGCTGGCCACACACACACACACACACACACACATAAATAAATAAAATTAAAAAAAAAAAAAGAATACTATGAACAAAGTAAAAACCAACAGAGAAAAAAAATTTGCAAATTATGTAACTAATCAGTTATCAGGTATCTAAAATTTATAAGGAACATTTACCACTCAACAATAAAAAGATAAATAACTCAAAGCTTTGCTAAGTATTTGGTAGATATCTTTCCAAACAAAATGCCCAATAAATATATGATGCTTAACATCATTAGTCATTAGGAAAATACAAATCAAAATCATAATGAGATACTCATGAGGATAGATTTAATTATTTTATTTATTTTTAAATTTCATGTATTTGGTATAGGGTCTCAACATGCAGCTCAGACACATAGTGATTCTCCGTTTCAGCCTCTCTGGTGCTGGGATTACAGGCGTGCGCGACCACACCCCGTCTTGGTGGCCGGCTCAGCACACCTGGAGCACGGCCAGCATGGCATGAGGTACTGGGATCGAACCCAGGTCCTGGTTGGTGCTTGCCTAGGCAGGCATTTAGATTACTTAAGCTACCTGTATGGCCCCAAGAATGGATTTAATTTAAAAAAGACAATAACAAGTATTGAAAAAGATGTGAAGAAACTGGATCTGTCACATACAATGTAAAAATAGTGTAGCTGTTTTGAAAAATACTTTAGCAGTTCTTCAAGAAGTTAACCATAGAGATACTATCTGACCTAGTCATTCTACGTGTAGATATCATACCCAAGAGACTGAAAAGGACTTCACACAAAAATATGTACATGAATATTCATAACAGCATGATTGATATTAGCCAAAAAGTAGAAACAATATAAATGCCAAATAAATTGTGGCATATCACACAAATGATATTATTCAGCCATGAGTAAAAGGTATTAATTCATGTTTCAACTTTATATGAATTTTGAAAATATTACAGTCACTGAAAAGCCAGAAACAAAAGGCCACATATTGCATGATTCCATTTGTATGAAATGGTCCAAACAGGAATCTATTGAGACAGAAAAAATAGTGGTTGCCACTGGCTGAAGAAAAGAGGGGATGGGGAGTAATTGCTAATCATACCAGGCTTCTTTCAGGTATTAAAAATGTTCTGAAAATAGACAGTAGTGATGGTTATACAACCCTGTGAACATACTAATAATCACTTAACTATATTTCTTGAATGTTATGGTATGTAAGTTATATTTCAGTAATTAAAAAAAAAAATTAGTATGGTGGCAGATCCCTATAGCCCCAGCTCTCTGGGAGGCTGAGGAAGGAAGATCACAAATTTGAGTCCAGCCTAGGCAACTTAGTAAGAAACTGTCTCAAAATAAATTTTAAAAGAACTGCACATATAGCTTGTTATGTAGGTCCTCAGCTCAATCCCTAGTACTGCCAAAAAAGTTTTATGAGTCAGATACAAGGTTTGGTTTCTGCTTAGATTGTAACTTTAAAAACAAAATCAATGGGGCTGGTGAGATGGCTCAGTGGTCTAAAGCACCTACTTAGAACAAGCTTAGCAAAGCACAGGGACCACGATTCAATCCCCCAGCACCACATGCCAGCCAGCCCCGCCCCCTGGTGGGCTGAGCTGGCCACACACACACTAAATAAATAAAATAAAATAAAATAAAATAAAATAGAACTGTTAAAAAAAATCATTTTTTGAGATAACTGGGAAAAATGAACAATAACTTTACATTTGACATTTGGTAATTATTGTGCTTGTTTCAGATATGATCATGATACTGCAATTGATAAAACAAAGCAAAAAAGAATTTACTTTCCAAAAATACATATTAAAGAATTATAGGATTTTTTTTTTGGGGGGGGGGGGCTGGCTCAGAATGCCTTCAGGGCATGTTTGCCTGGCTGGAGTTGTGGGGATTGAACCACAGCAACCTGAGGCTGACTGCTTTGTTGAAGCAGTCACTTAAACAACTGAGCTAAGGGGCAGGCCCCAAAATGGCAGAAAGATTTTTTTTTTTATATTAAAGAATTATAAAGTGAAATGTCTGAAATTTTTTATAAAGTATTACAGTTGGGGAGGTATAGCTTAGTGTAGATGCCTGTCTACCATATGTAGCACCTTGGGCTTGATTCCTTAAGACTGAAAAATAAAAAATACATTAAAAAATTGTTAACAGGGGGTCATTATACTAAATTCCAAATGTTGAATGTCTCAAATTATCCATAATAAAGTGATTTTAAATATATGTCTATAATTGTTTGTATATATATAGAAAAGGTCTGGTATAAGAAATGTATAATGTTATTTCCCTGTGGAAAAGAGAACTAGATAGAATGTATCTTGAGTAGTTATCTCTGAGGATGCGTTCTCTCTCTCTCTCTCTCTCTCTCTCTCTCTCTCTCTTTCTCTCTCTCTCTCTCTCTGTCTCTCTGTCTCTGTCTGTCTCTGTCTTCTGTCTGTCTGTCTGTCTATGTACCTACCTATCTATTTATTTCCCAGGAATCAACTCAGGCCTTTGAGCTTGCCAGGCAGGCGCTGTACCACTAAGCTATTTCCCCTGGCTCAGGATCTTATTTAAAAGTAGGTTCTATAGCAAAACAGTAACAGTAACAGCCAATTATTTCATGTACTCTGAAATATTTTAAAAAGCATCCTTTATTTTTTTAAGGGCAAAATAAACATAAACATTGTTTATAGATGACCCATTGAATTTCGCTCAGTCTCAATTCCACAGGAGTCAAGAGGTAAAACAAAACAGACACCTGATTTGTCATTCCTAATTCTGCCCCAGGAATATTCTCCCTCACTTATAACTTTGTGCTATTTAGTACAGACAAGTATCATCACCTAAAAGTAATCACCGAAAAAAATGTACTCCTATAGACTGTATTAAGTAAGCTTCGAGGCCCAATGCTCTCCAACAATTAACGGGAGTCAGGCATTCTGCCTCCCACAGAGAGCAATCCAGGGGCCATCAAGAAGCATGACATTTGAGGGAGACAGAGAAAAACACTCTGTGAGCAGAGGTTCTCTGAGTAAGCCTTTATAAGCAGTCCTGGGAAAGCACAACTGTCATTCATCAGTTCCACTGGTTTCTAACACATTACTTTTGCAGGGCAGTGGACATAGTCTTGGATATAAATCTTGCTTGCTACCAAATAGTTTGGCAAATTAAGCTGAGGTAGACTTGAAGAGAGAGACACACATCTATTCCCAGAGGCAACACACCCCAGCCCTTTACTGTGCTTCACGTGTACTATGAATAAATGAAAATCTGCCACCCACCTTGACTCTTGTCATCTGGGTCAGGGTCTGGCTTCAGTCTTTTCACACTATTGCCACTCTCTGAGCTGTAATAAAGAACAGTGATCTGAGCTATATCCAACCTTGGAAATCAAAGCTTAGGAAATCAGGAGCTCCAAGAAACCACTCATGTCTCTTAGGCAGCCTCAAGGAGGCTCTGAAGGAGGCTGTGAAAAGCCTCCATTTAGGTTCTTAATCTCCTCTAATTATAACATTCACTATAAACCCCTAACAAATCCAAGAGGTAAAACATGTAAACTTTTGATGTTTTGGCCATCTTTATTATTCAATCTGGTTAGAACCACAGGTGGATTTGAAGAATACCTGGACATGGTTCACAAATGACAAAATCTTAGTTATTAAAAATTGAAGAAAATATTTAAAATGAAATACTAAAGATTCTGAGAATCACCCAAAACTCTTTCACTAAAATAATGTGCTTCAACAAAGAAAAAATTATCCTAGGAAGGCCTGAATCCCAGAAGGAAAGGGTGTACAATGAAATGATAACTATAAACACAAATCTAAACAACCATCATCTGTGCTTACACAAAAATCTAATTTGTAGAGTTAGACATGACTACGTGATTGAAAGCAGACATGATGGTGCATGCTTGTATTCCCAGCACTGAGAAGCTGAGGCAGGAGGATCTCTAGTGTGAGCCCAGCCTTAGAACTTATAAGACCTCTCAAAAATGAAAATAAAAACAAAAATAAAAATAAAAAAGGGCTGGGGATGTAGCTCAATATTTAGGCCCTAGAGTTAATCCTTTGCACTGTCAAAAACTTAAAAAAAGAAAAAAGAAAAAAAGAAATAGAAAAATGCATGAGATTTTAAAAATCTGAACCATATTTTATTTTATATTTTTGAGACAGGGTCTCACTGTGTAGTCCAAGGTAGCCCAGGCTGGCCTCGAGCTTATAGCAATCCTCTTGCATCGGTCTTCCAAGTGCTGGGATGAATCTTATTTTAAAAAGAAATAGAAGGAAAAATATTTTTTAAAAATTAAAAGACAATTAAGGTGGTAGAACCAGGGAACCAAGGCGCAGGGAACCAAGTTTGATCCCTGGTATATCACATGTTGTGCCAGCCCCAAGTTCCCCAGGTGCACCATGCTGGCCCCGAAACTGGGCATGGTGGTGCACACCTGTCATTCCAGAACTAGGGAGGCTAAGACAGGAGGACCACTACAAGTTAAAAAGATATTTAAAAATAGCTATTTATAAGAGATACATTTAAAAACTTATTAAAAGAGACACAAAAAAAAGAAAGAAAAGAAAAACAAAACAACTTAATACCTAGAAAGATTAAAAGTACAAGAATGAAAAAAGAAGTCCTACAGCAGCTAGGTACAGTGGCACATGACTGTAACCTCACCACTTGGGAGGCTGAGGGAGGAGGACTACAAGATCAGTCTAGGATACATGGTGACCCCAAGCCCAGCCTGGATCACACAGCAAGACACTCTTTCAAAAATTAAACAAAAATGAAGTACCACAGCAAATATTCCTCTCAAGAAGGCCAGGGTACCCATGTAAAGATTAGGAAAATAGCCTCTGAGACCATAAGCATTATAAAAGATAAGGCTTAATGAGATTTGATTTGCTATGAATTGGGGGCCTGCCCCTTAGCTCAGTTCTTTAAGTGGCTGCTTCAACAAAGCAGTCAGGCACAGGTTGCTGTGGTTCAATCCCCATAACTCAAGCCAGCCAAACCTGCCCTAAAGGCATTCAGAGAAAAAAAAAAATCCTTCTGATTTGCTACAAATAACAATTTTGAAAATATATATATTTCTCCCTCTGTATTTTAAGGAAGGGTCTACAGTGTGAGCAGGGTCTCACTACTAGATCAGACTTGCAGTGATTCTTTTTACAGCCTCCCAAAAGCTGGGATTACAGGCGCATGCCACCATGCCCTGTCTCAGTGTGCTCCGGGGGGCGGGGCCAGCACAGCAGGCCTGGGGATTGAACCCCAGCCCCTATTCCTGTTTGCAGGCGCTTTAATCCGCTGAGCTATTTGGCCAGCCCTTCAAAATATATATTTAGCAGAACTACAAAGAGAAATCAAGTAATCACTTATTTTTTTTTTTTTTTTTTTTTTTTTTTTTTTTTTTTTTTTTTTGTGGAACCGGGGATTGAACTCAGGCCCTTGCACTTGCCAGGGAAGTGCATATTCCACTGAGCCATCTCCCTGGCCCCCAAGTAATCACTTATGATAGTAGAAAATTTTAAAATACTTCTCTCAAGCATTGATAAGGCCAGCAGACAAAAAGATTTAAACAACAGAATAGGCAAACTTGACTTGTTGGAACCCAGAATCAACAATTATAAAGCACCAATTCTCTTCAAACTTACTTGGAACATGCACAAACATTAATTTTAGCAATGGATGACAAAGTTTAAAGTTACCTCAAAAAAAAATCAGTATAAACCACAATGCAATATTAGAAGTCAGTAACAAAAGATGAATATGATACTTAATACCCTCTAAGAATCCATTAATAAGGTGTCAGGAAAAACACATAAACCAATGAAATATGATTAAGTTATCTAACTATGAAAATTTTAAAATATACTTCTCAATTATTCCCGACTCAAAGTTATCAGGACAAAGTTTAAAAAGTTTAGAAGGAAATACAAAATTTGTATCCAATGAAAGCTGAGCAATGTTTATAGTTCCAGACCCTTTCTAAAAAGGCTGAAAATGCTGTAACAATAAATAAAATAAACTTGAAGGGAGCAAAAGACATCCTTTTGAAGTAGGCATGTAAAAGGTATGTCTTTTGTTTTTTATGCCTCATACACACATACACTAGTGGCTTCCAGACTTTCATCAGGCTTCAGAATCATCCATGGAACTTTTAGCAATTCAGACCCCATGCTTGGCTCCAAACTTCCTGAACCAGAATCAATATGAAGCCAGTACCACAGTACTTTTTCTTTTTTAAGGATCATATTATGTAATTTAGGCTGGCCTTCAACTTACTATGTAACCAGGTTGGCCCTGAACTTGGAGCAAACCTCCTGCTTCTGCCTCATAAATGAAGAAATTATTAGTGTGCCCCACCTAGCCTGGCAGGGAATCTATATTATTCAGACTCCCAGGAGATCTAATAACCCCAGGACAGTGTAGATTATGAGGCTGATTTGTAACAAAGCAACATTAAATGATGTAGTTTCAAAGCTCACAAAGGATTCTATGCAGATCTTCAAATAGGCTAGCAGAGCCCTTTCTAAAGGTGATCTAGGGACTATGGAGTACTACCACCACCACCACCACCCAGTCTGCACCACCAGGAGCCCTTAACTGGCTGAGTCCAATAAGAGTGACCCAGGGGCCAATCCTAGTAGACACTGCACTTTGTTTGGAGCTTACATGAGATCTTGAAAGAATTTGCAGCTTGTTAACAGACCCTATTCACTCCTCTCCTTGCTGCTGCTCCATGATGACATTTTTACATGAAGGCAATGTTCCCAGGAACATCTATGGCAGATGGATGATGTGCCAAACTGCAAGTCTCCATCAACATACCCTCTTCAAAACATGTGGCTGCTTGCCAATATACCACATTCATTTACTAATAGACTGCATTTTAGCTTAACACCATTTTTCCCATGGTCTGGTTGGTCAACTGAAGTGACCAGATTCAATCACTCCCGTGCCACTTCAGGATTCAGGAAGAAGGGAAAAACATGACAAAAGCACTTCGTAAAAGTTCTAGTAGTATGACATGTCAGTCAAACATAGCCACAGCCAGGTCTACGACCCTGTCATAGCTGTCATGTTCTTTCAATGCCTTTTGCAGCAGCTGTTTCCTTTGCCTAGGATGTTCTCTCCCTTGCCTGCCCATCAAAGCCCTAGTGTCCTACCCAGTCAGTATCTTTCTAATGTCTTCCCTCACTCCCCCAGCATGCACACAGGCACCTGCCAGGCAGAACTGTGCTCCTCCTCCTGCTCTCATTAATCCTCTATGTAATCCCGTCACAGGATTTTACTACCTCATTTGCCTTGAAATATTGAGGCTCCAATACTGAACTTCTGCTTTATTACTGTGTAACCTTGGACCAAAGTTCTCAACCTCTAAAGTTCTAGCTCTTTTCATTTGTAAAACGTGTTATAACATTATGTACTTCATAGAACTGGTGAGATGAATAAGATCATTCGCAGAAGCACCTAACAATGCCTGACATGTGGAGGTGCTCAATGAAGAAGAGCTATTATCATGTTGGTGCAATGAATGACCAAAGAGGCAAGGGTCAAAGGCTACAGAAGACGCCAAATCTGAAAGAAGAGTAAAGTGAGTATCCTGAAGGAACTTCACAGAGACTTGTGCTAAGCAACCTTCTGCTCTGGCTACCACTGTAAGTGGCAGTGAAGAACACATGCAGAGGGATTTACATTGAGAGCTGGCTGACCTCTTGTGCTTCACAGCTCCGGCCAATAACTTTGCCTGGGAGAACTTGTTCTTGGTTTCTATTGGTTTCACAGGCAGTTTCTTCTCCATTTCCTTTTTGTTTTCTGCAGAGATTCCAACCTTGTTGAGATTACTGTGAGTTACAGGTTAAGGGTTAAACTAAGCAAAAGGAAGAGCTGCCCCAGGATAATGATACATCATGAGGAGAGTGACAAATATAACCCACTAGTCCTTTGGTAGTATGATGTAGTATCCAGTCCATTTATAAAAGAAAAAAACAAAAAACAAAAAACAAAAAACCAACCTCCTTCATTCTGCCAGTCAAATCCAACTTCTTTATTTTGAGACCTGATCCCTCCTCTGCCCTAGTTGACTCTAGATGCCAGGAGCTGGTTTTAATATTCTCTTAACGTGTTTTTAATAAGAAACCCTGTGCAAACATAAGAACTGGAGGGCTATTTTAAAAAGAATAAACAGCACATGTCACATCATCTTTTCAAACCAGATGTCAACCTGTGGCTCTCAACATCTGTCACTTTCGATTGCTCTCTCCACCAGCTCCCTCCTGTTTACTTTCTGTTCTTTTTCACAATTTATTTATAACAGCTAAGTACATATTCTGGTGCAAGTTCTTAAACTGCAGTAATGTCTTCCTGGAAAAACAGTGACACCTAGCGTCCAAGAAATCTCAGCCCAAAACAGAGTGTAGAAGTAGGGGTACAGAGCTGAGGTTATCTGGCTGTCTCTGAACAACAGAGAAGCGAGGTGCCAGACATACACACATTCTCATTCTTAGTCTTTTTCAGACATTAACTGTTCTTAAAGGTGCTGGTTACCTTAAACAGCTGCAGTATTCACTGGAGACTAGGTATACTGCTCAGTACTAAAATTCTATCAATTCAATGCCTTTAAGGTTATCACAGAAACATGTTAGTAAAATGTTAGTATTATACATTCATTTTTATAAATAACAGAAATAGATTGTAGCAGAGTATGCCTATAACTATTAGCACATGGTGATTTTTGCTTGCAGCTCCAACACGAAGGGACAGAAACTCTGAAGGAAATCTCTCAATATTAAATATTTTAAAATCAAACAAAACTATGGGTGTGGTGGTACACACCTGTAATCCCAACACTCAAGAGCCTGAGGCAGGAAGATCATTGTGAGTTTGAGGCTAGCCTGGACTACAAAGTGAGCACAAGGCCAGCCTGAACTGTATAGTAAAACTCTGTCTCAAAAAAAAAAAACAGAAAAAGAACTTTAAGACCAGTACACAAACAAAAATAACATTTCATTTTTTATTCTTTTAAGGTGAGAGGGTAGTTGTACCTTACTTCTAATCCATAGCTGAAGTCTAAGATTTTTCCCCTTTAAGTCCTGCTCCCTTCAAAATGTTTTAAAAACAAATACATCTTAAAAACCTGAAGTTCATTTGATGAGGCATTTTTTAAAGACGCAGTTTTAAATATTCATAATATTGCTAAATACCAAGAGGGAACAACTCGAGTTCTGTTTACGTGGCACAAAATACAGCTTCAAAAGTATAAAGTATCACATTATAAAATGCATCCTAATAATTAGTAAAGCCAAGAGTCAGGGTAATAAACCAATGCCTAATCCTCTATTCCTATTGCAAGGAGGCTCTAGCTACTCTTACATTTGGGATTAGTACATTACACATCAGGAGCTGGCAAGCCTGCTTTTCTTCACTTCTCCTAGAGTCAAATTCCCACGTTCCTGAAGCCAATAGCCCCTGGAGCATTTTAGTGCTCTACTGCTCTGTCACCAGGACAGAAAAGTTTCTGCTTTTTCTTTCCTTTTAGTTAGAAGCTGAAAGGCACACAACTCACAGCCCTACTTTCTGTAACGCTCCTTTGGGAGACAGTGAATGTCTTACTTGCTGGTCAAGTAAAAGCGTAATTAATATATTTCCTTACAGGAAAAAACAGTGGCATCTGAAACAATGCCATTATATATGTATGTGAGCCTACTCCTCCAAATGTTAACACTATTCTAAGGTCACCTGACCAGGGGTGGAGGAGTGCAGAGGACTCAGTCTCAGTCCCACAGCTGTCCTGTCCTTTCTACCCAAATGCCACTAATTAGAAAGCAGGGAGTTGGAACTTTTGCTACCAGTTCAAATCTAAGTCAAATCCCAGGGAATCTGTCCACATTTTCTCCCATATAACTCTTTCATGGGATGTATTGCACCCACCCTGCAAGAAAATGCCAACTAGCACATACAAAGTTGTATCACCAATTTTTTTTTTTTTTTTTTGGTGGAACTGGGGATTGAACTCAGGCCCTTGCACTTGCCAGGGAAATGCTTATTCTACTGAGCCATCTCCCGGGCCCTGTATCACCAATTTTAGAGGTCAAGCCTACCCAAATATAGTAGTGAGGTTACTCAAAACATAAATTTGAAATATCCAAATAAGTATCCCCACAGGTGAAAAAAAAGTTAGCAGTGGCATTATTAACATCTACTGTGAGTCATACTTTGTCACTTACTTACTAAGAAACTGCTACACACCAGATACTGAAGAAATCAATATTAAGTCCTAATGGGGCTTACTTTATATTCTAGCAATAAAGAAATAAAATAAAGCCAGGCATGATGATACAAGTCTGAAATTCCAGTATTAGTGAAGCTAAAGGAGAAGACTACAAGTTCAAGCCCAGTTTTGGCAATTTAAGTGACTTAGTAAGAGTTTGTTTAAAAAAAGAAAGTCTGTTTCAAAATAAAAAAGTGCTGGAGATGTTGCTCAGTGTGAAGACCTGAGTTCAATAGTTCAATCCCCCCAACTATAAAAAAGTTAAGGGATGGGGAGACAGCTTGGCGGTCTAAGCGCCTGCCTGACATGCATAAGGACCTCGGTTTGATCCCCTGTACCTCATGCTGTGCTGGCCCCACGCCAAGCTGGCTACCAAAACCAGGCGTGGTTGTGCATGCCTATAATCCCAGCACTGGAAAAGGCTGAGACAGCCTCACTATGAGTCTGAGCTGCATAGTAAGACCTTATACCAAATAAATATAAATAAATAAAAATTTTAAAAGTTTTTAGAAAAATGAAATAAAAGTGTTCAGATAATGACAGTGCTCTTTATAAAATGTTATTATACCCATGTGTGGAGGTGAACACCAATCCCAGTACTCAGAAGGCTGAGGTAGGACTGCTTTGAGTTTGAGGCCAATCTGGTTTATAAAATGAGTTCGAGGCCAGCCTAAACTATATAGAAAGACACCGTCTGAAGAAAAAAAAAGTTATTGCAGTGGTGGGGGTGTAGCTCAGTGACAGAATGTGGTTGGCATACACAAGGACTCAAGCTCCAATACCAAAAAAAATAAAAGGCAAAACAAAACGGTAGATAGTGACAAAGTAAATGCAAGTATAGAAGCATGCTTCAGGAAGGCTTCTGGGAGAGTTCTGAGCTGAGAACCGAGTGCTGTGACACAATGTGAAGGCAGAACATGTCAGGTTCAGAAGCAAGCAAGTGTAAGGCGTGAGACTGCATCAAAGCTTGGTGTGAGAGAAGAACATGAAGAGGGCAGCAAGCCGAGCACACACGAGAAAGTGGTTTCAAGATGCCAAGAGGGAAGTAGGTTGGCTGAAATCATGTAGAGCCCTGTAAGGGCTCATAATTGTAGATTTTCATCTAAATGCAATAGAAAGCCACTAGAATGTTTCACACAGGAAGTAACATGATGACACGTAAGTTTTTACAAGTTCCCTTTATTGAAGAATGTTGAAGAATAGAAACAATCTAATTGGACTATGGTTCACATATGTGGATCTGAATATTTTATTTTTTTCGAAGGTCTTTTTTTTTGCTGTCTCAGAATGCCTTCAAGGCAGGTTTGGCTGGCGTGAGTTCTGGGGATCAAACCACAGCATTCTGAGACTGATGGCTTTGCTTCAGCAGGCACTTAAACAACTGAGCTAATGGGCAGGCCCCCTGAATATTTTATTTTATACTTTAAGTGTGACAAATATTTTTGGAAAAAAACCTGTCTTTTAAAGAACTCAGTTATACCATTAACAGCAGAGGAAAGTTCACAACTGCTACAGGGGCAATAGAGACAGCAAGAATTACACAGATCTGAAGTAGATTATGGAAGCAATTTTTTGCCCAGGCAGCTAAAAGCACAGAAGCATCAGTTACTGAAACTGGAAAGCCAGAAAAGACTCAGGCTGACAGCAGTAGAGACAAGCTGCAGAAGTGACATGGAGTTAAGAATTTGGATTCAGCCACATTACAATTGGGGAAGCTTATTAAGACATTCATGTGGATTTCTATAAAGCCATGCTGAGCCAAAGTGAATTAATCTTTGTTGCTTTCTCAGGCCTTCTATGGGAAGAATGAAATCATGTCAAGGGTGAGGATGCTGCTAAGAACAGACAAGAGTTGAAAAACGTCTTTTTAAAATTCTGAAGGCAATTTTTTCCCTGGATGAAGATGACTGCATTGCCCATCTGTCTCAGAGTCTAATCCCACAAGACAAGAATAACCTGCTACTAATGATTAGGATTTCTGTCCACAGTTAATCCTAAAGGACATGGACTTTTGATTCCAACAGACTCTTGTTTGTAACAGACTCTACAAGTCAGTCATTCAGAGTGATGGGAAAAATAGTGTAGAAATAGGCTAAAGATTAACAAATAGAAAACCCTTTATTTATGAGGAAAATGACACCACCAATGTCTCAAAGTACAAAGGATATTCTGTATTCCTTGAGTTCCTTCAGTTCTTCTTCTCTTCGTTGCTTTTCTATTAGCTCTTGCTGCCGAGAAACCTCATCAAGGAAGTTGGTCTCATCTTCATCTAAGCCTCTTACCATGTTTTCTGAGGAAATAATTAAATAAGAACATTAAGTAAAATAAAGGGAAAATATAGTCTTATTTGAATTTTCCTTCCTGCACTCCCCTCTTTTGAATAAACAGTACATTCTTCAGTGGCTAAGAAGAAAAAACAGTTAAACACCATGGCTTTTAGATAGATAATATGCCATAAAATCAAGGCATTTTTCCCATCACTAAATATTAGCACAGAATTAAAATGGGTATCTTGAGCTCTAAACAAAAATGTTCACTGTGCTCTAGAAGGCAGAAAGTGTCTTCTTTTCTACCAAATGAACGTCTGGAGACTAGATAATCCAGACAATGCCACTGCTAGCTAGAAAGGGTGGCACGAAGCCAAAGTGCATCAAGAAGGCCTTGAAGAGGCCCCCAGGCTGTATTTTTGGAACTTACTGAATTTGAACTGCTCCTCATACTCCTGCTGTTTCCTGTCTTTCTGTTCCTGGAGCCTTTCATAGAGAGACCGAGGGTCATAAACCTCCTCTGGACATTCTAAAAGGAAGACAAGAAAGAGGGGGCGAGACAGGAAATATATATTTTATAATATTGTTTTGGAATTACAAAGAGTTTTAAAGATCAAGTCAAGTCTCTACATGAACCGAGGGCAGGATAACACAAAAATAGTACAAAGACCACAGCTTCCCTTTGGACCTCAGAGAGAAGCCAGCACTTCTCAAAGCCAACTATCAATGTCAGCAGCACTCAGAGCCTGAGAGTTAACTGGATGAGGGGCCAGCTCAAACCCTCCACAGCAGCAGCACTCTCAGGTGTTCAGAACACGGATCCATCAATATAGAAGGAATAATCTGGAAGAATCTTCTAGAAAGAAGTGTGGCAGCGAGGAAAGAGCAAAGATATGAGTTGGGTCTGCTACAGAAGCCTTATTAAGGTTATTTTGCCCTCTGAGCTTAGGCTCAACTCTAAAATGAAGACAATTATGCCTCAGTGGCAGGGTCATTGTGAAGATTAAAGATTACTATGCTATGCCTCCAACCACATCCTAAGTGTATACCTTTGGGATCTTCAGGTTTTCGAACTTTCTCCCATTCTTCTTGTCTCCTTTTGCGCCGTTCATCTAATTCTGCCTCAGACACAAATCTCTTTTTGATAACAAGGTTACCATCATCCCCACCATCCATATTGAAAAGAATCAATCTACAAAAAGAAAAAAAAAATTTCAAGAATTACAATTTTAAAAAAGCAAGTTTTGGAAAAAGATAAATTTATAGGAGTCCAAGCAATCCTTTATACTATATTTTTCATCAATCTTCTCTATTAAAGTGTTAGAATTCAACTTCACAAGTGGTTTAGTCTGAGCTATTTCATCTTCATATACAAGGAAAAATTACGAATAACTGATGAAAATAAGAAATAAAGTAAGGCCATGCATGTGACCCATACCTGTAATCCTGATACGTGAAAGGCCAAAACAGAAATATCACAAGTTTGAGGACATTTGGGGTTACACAGTCATCACAAGGGCAGCTTAGAATACATAGCAAAACCCTGTTTTAAAAACTTCCATGTGAGGGCTGGCGAGATAGCTTAGGGGAGTAAGCTCCTGCTTAGACAAGCACAGGGACTGAGATTCGATACCTAGCACCACTGGCTGCACCAGCCCCAACCACAGGCACGCTGAGCCAGCCACTGAGTCCAGGCAAGTCCAGGCATGGTGGCGCACACCTGTAATTCCAGCACTGAGGAGGCTGAAAATAGCTAGATCAGTATGAGTCCAAGCTGCATAGTGAAACCTTGTACTAAATACGTAAATTAAAAAGAAAAAAAACCATGTTTATGGAAGCACAGTTTGTAACAGCTAAATCCTGGAAACCACCCAAATGCCCATTTAATGAAGAATGTTGATAAAGATGTGGGTCTTTTATACAATGGAATACTACTCAGCCATAAAGAAGGCCAAACTTGAGACATTTCTAGGTAAATGGATGCACCTTGAGATCATACTCTTATGTGAAATAAATCAAACACAAATGTATAAATACCACATTGTTTCTCGGATGTGAGAAATCAAAAGTGTAAATAACCAAAATGTATACTAGATATTGTGAAATAAGAAGAAAAGGTTAAAATGGGAAGGGGAACTAGGGAAGAGGCAGGGAAAAGGAAAGGAAAAGAAAAGAAAAAATGAGGAAAGAAAAAATGAAAACAAAGCTTTTGTAAATAAGGAGGGGAATACAGGTTTGAAGCGAGGGGAGTGGAAGGGGCAAAACAAGTCAATGTATATTATGTACAAGTACAAATTCCTTATGATGTGTATGATCATTATGCATCTCTAAAATGTACCAATAAACTTAATTTTTTTTTATTTTTTTAATTTTATTTATTTATTTATGTGTGTGTGTGTGGCCAGCTCAGCCCACCAGGGGGCGGGGCTGGCTGGCATGTGGTGCTGGGGGATCGAACCGTGGTCCCTGTCATTTGCCAAGCTTGTTCCAAGTAGGTGCTCTAGACCACTGAGCCATCTCACCAGCCCCAATAAACTTAATTTTTAAAAAACCAAAACCAAAACAACAACAACAAAAAAAGCAAGCAGGTAGAGCACATTTTAAAAAGAAACTAAGGGCTGGCCAAATAGCTCAGCAGATTAAAGCACCTGGTTAGGCAGACGCAGGGGCCAGGAGTCTGATCCCCAGGCCTGTGTGCCAGCCTTGCCCCCAGGGCCTGCTGAGAGGACAATTGAGACTGGGCAAAGTGGCTGTAATCCCAGTGCTTGAGAAGCTGTAAACACGAGGATCACTATGAGTCAGATCTACGCAGTGTGACCCTGTACACCCTGTCTTAAATACGAAAGAGAGAGAGAGAGAGAGAGAGAGAGAGAGAGAGAGAGAGAGAGAGGAAAAGAAAAAAGAAATGAAATTAAGTCAGGTGTGGTGCTGCATGCCTAGAACCTCAGGTATTCAGGAGGCTGAGACAACAGGATCACAGGTTCAATATCCTGCCTTGAAAGAATAGAGAGGCTAGGGACATAGCTCCATGACAGTGTGCTTGCCTAGCCTCAGACTCTGGGTTCGATCTCCCAATACAGGAGGAGAAGAAATTAAAAGACAGGAGCTTTAGAATTTGACAGAAATTATTTCTCATCAGCTCTCAATGGCTTGATTTCCACACAACCAAAACTAATAAACACTTAAAAGTCTGTATTTTAAAGTATATGTCATAATCCCAACAATCCCCTGCTTTCTAAAAATACACAAAGAACCAACAAGATGGCCACACAGTTAAGTTTCTATGAGTTTAAAAGGGATGAGACTAAAACACAGACTGCTTTATCTGTTGTGGCCTCTGTATCAAGAGGGAGATAATGGTGATGACAATAAAGTGGTAATAAAATCTAAAAAGAGTAATGAAAAAAACTTGTGGGCTCTGTTTGAAATTAAGACTTGGGCTCAAAAATCAGTCTGACACTAGGCTGAGTCACTTAACTGCTCTGAACTCTCATGCACAGATTATACTTACCAATGGGGATCCAAACAGCATGAGCTAACATAAAGCTTTAGTGTGCGTAAACAAGATAATTGATGCAAAGCACCGAGCACAGTGTTTGGCACAGTTAGAAATGCTTCACAGGGTTTCTGGTTACTACAAAGATTCATGCTAAGCTGTGCACAGATTGGAGAGCAAGAGAAATAAGTGTTTGCACTCAAGAAATGGGAGAGAAAAAATATCAGTGACATAAACATGACATTGTAAGTGGGAAGAGGAGTACATCAAACTAAGAAGTTAAGAAACATACATATTTAACTTTAACAAAAACAATTACCATATATAATATTCTCTATACAATTTGGTAATTCTATATTTTCTCTTTAGCACTGTTTTCTATTTTGCTGTTTTACTTTGTTAGTAGTTTAACTTCAACTAGACTAGATTTTTATAACATCTACAAAGGAAATAGGATTTAGCCAGGTGTAGGAGCACACACCTTTAATCCGAGGAGACTGAGGCAGGAGGATCCCAAGTTTGAGCCTAGCACAGGTAATTTAGCATGACTTAGTCAGTCATAAAAAGGCAGGGGTGGGAATAGTTAGGGATGCAGCTCAGTGCAAAGGCTCCAAAGAATAGAGGAAAGGTGAGGGGAGGGGAGGAACAAAAAAGAAACAAAGCTTTAACATACAGCACTCTTGCACTTGTTATACCAAATAATCATATCTCTATATATGATTATTATATAAGTAGTACAGAAAGGATACAAATATGATTCATTTTTCCAGACTTGAAACCTGGACATGTACCTAGATTTCTTTTTCCTGTTCATTCCTTACATCCATGTCATATTCTGTTGTTTTCACCTCATAATGACCTTTTAAAACCCATCTCCTGGGGCCAGGGAGATGGCTCAGTGGAATAAGCGCTTGCCTGGCAAGCCCAAGGCCCTGAGTTCAATCCCTGGTTCTGCAAAAAATAAATAAATAAGTAAAACTCATCTCTTTTTTTTTTAATTTTTTAAAAAAATTTATTTATGTGTGTGTGTGGCCAGCTCAGCCCACCAGGGGGCGGGGCTGGCTGGCATGTGGTGCTGGGGGATCGAACCGCGGTCCCTTGCTTTGCTAAGCGTGTTCTAAGTAGGTGCTTTAGACCACTGAGCCATCTCACCAGCCCCAAAACCTATCTCCTAAAAAAAAAAAAAAAAAAATCCATCTCCTTCCCTATGCCAATCAGGGAGAGGTCCCTTCTTTACTAATTCCTTCTTTCTGGACCTCAGCTTGCACAGACTTAGCAACAGTATTATTCCATTCGTCTCCCTGTTTCTACTCTAGCTTCCTTTCAGTTCATTCTCTGCAGTGTCAGGTGAATGATTTCTTTTTTCTCCCCCATAATTTTATTGAGAAACAAATAGCAATGAGACAGTTTCAAACCAAATTGGTAGGACAGTTTCAATAATTAACACATTGCATACATTCTTCCTAGTGGTTAATTGCTGTACAAGATGCGGACATGATATCCTATTTACAAACACTATTAGAACAAATCCCTCTATTCATTAAGAGAATGTAACTATATATCTATCCTAACCATTCTGAACACACAGATACAAAATGGACATTCATCTGTATCCCCTTCTTTTGTTTAGTTCCGTTATTTGAATATTATAGGTGTGTTAACTCAGCAAAATATTCTAAAAGAGTCCAGTAGTCCATAATAGTATTGGGTCTTCCACTTCACTCGCAATGTCAGAAATTGTTGACCTGGGTCCCATACAGCTCAACATAGCAGCATGGCTTTACTTCTTATACTTTGTTTTTATACTTTTCTGCTGGATGGTTAAGACCAAGGTAAAGCAAGACCTATGCAACAAGAGTTGTAGCTTTTGGGTCTGATAAGGTCAGTGAAATCCCCTCAGGATTTATCCTGGGATCCTGTACCTCAGATTGTAGAACCTTTGTCAGTGTCAGCCATGTGGATGAGTCATGGCCATTGCTTGGCCAATGTGCTCTCTGTGAAAGCCTGAGAGAACGTTTTCTCTCCATGTGACTCTCCTTAGGCACACTCTACATCATCGATCACTTTCGTCTTTGGCCCCATAATCTCCTTGATCAGAAAATCTGGGACACTACCGAGTTACATGATGTTATAGTACAAATTCTCGTATGTCCTGAGTCTTAATTGACCTTGGAAGGCTAGGGTCAAAATGTTGGCTTCCCTGCGGCTCTCCTTTTTCTTTAATTTTGGTCTGCAAACTTAGGTTGTTGGGACCAGAGAGATGGCTCAGTGGAATAAGTGCTTCTGTGGCAAGTGCAAGGGCCTGAGTTCAATCCCTGGTTACACAAAAAAACAAAAAACAAAAAACAAAAAAAAAAAAAAACTTAGGTTGTTAACCCTCCAGAAGACAAACTTATTGTTATTACCATACAACCTAGGCTGTTAAGCTTAACCTCACTATCTGTCTGAATATCAAACATCTTAGGCCTAACATGGAACAGGTATTTTTCATCAAGTATTGATATGTTGAACTTTAAGTCCCTACAGAATATGATGAAAAAACATTTAAAAATTAGAATATATTTTAAAAATAGGCATAAAGAACTATATAATTCTTATGTTTACACATAAGTCCAAAAATCTAACCATATACAACCTTGAAGCAGGACAGTCCCACAATATTCCTTTTCCTGTCTCCTGCCTTCATTCAAAAAATA